CAGGAGTAAAGACCGACGCAACAGACGACGAAGATCCGCAAGTGGAAAACGTAGAGATGGATATAGAAGAGAACTGAGTGATCTGTTTGAAGCAATTACATTTGAATCAACTACAGTTGATCAGTTATCGGGCCCCAAGCTCAACCTACAAACGAGGTATTTGGGACCGCAAACGTTGACCTACAACAACAACAACAACAACAACATCTTTTATCACACAGCATCAACAGTCGGCCAAGTGCACTCAAGGCCAAGCTAGACACAAGAGCTCAAGGAAACATACCGCCTTTGAAACTGTATCTCCGGATGTACCCAGAGAATCTCACACCAGAAGGTTTTCCCAGACCAGGAGTTCTTGAACACTCGACTACAGTGCTCACTGCTTATGGAGGGACCGAGCTGATGCAACATGGGAAGTGCCAAATTGATTGTGATTGCAAAGGTAGGAAATCAGTCACAACTTTCTTTGTCACGCAAGCAGAAGGACCAGCCATCACGGGGGTACCAACATCCCTGGAACTCAACCTTGTCGCTCTANCAGGAGTAAAGACCGACGCAACAGACGACGAAGATCCGCAAGTGGAAAACGTAGAGATGGATATAGAAGAGAACTGAGTGATCTGTTTGAAGCAATTACATTTGAATCAACTACAGTTGATCAGTTATCGGGCCCCAAGCTCAACCTACAAACGAGGTATTTGGGACCGCAAACGTTGACCTACAACAACAACAACAACAACAACAACAACAACAACAACATCTTTTATCACACAGCATCAACAGTCGACCAATTCAAGTGCACTTAAGGCCAAGCTAGACACAAGAGCTCAAGGAAACATACTGCCTTTGAGACTGTATCGCCGGATGTACCCAGAGAATCTCACAACAGATCAGAAGGTTTTCCCAGACCAGGAGTTCTTGAACACTCAACTACAGTGCTCACTGCTTATGGAGGGACCAAGCTGATGCAACATGGGAAATGCCAAATTGATTGTGATTGCAAAGGTAGGAAATCAGTCACAACTTTCTTTGTCACGCAAGCAGAAGGACCAGCCATCACGGGGGTAACAACATCCCTGGAACTCAACCTTGTCGCTCTAAACTGATCTGTCCAGCAAAGTTCACCGTTGAATGTCAACCACACTCGTGAACACGTTACACCCATTAAAGACAAGGATGACAGTGATACGTTACCCTGATTGCTTCGATGGCGCTGGAAAGGGTCAGTGTGGCGTCACTATCGAGTATCGACCAGGCAAACAAGCCCTGGAAGCCGATGCTCTCTCAAGGTTCTCATCTGAGGGGGAGAAAACAATCCCTGATCTGAATATGCAGATTCATGATGTATGTTCACAATTCTCAGGCGAGTGTTTTCAAAAGATCAGAGCAGAAACAGCTTAAGACCCGGAGCTTTCTGTCCTGAAGGAAGCTGCGTACAATGGTTAGCCCACCACAGTAAGGCAACTACCCTCACTGATCCGACCCTACTGGACTTATCGTGAAGAACTGTCCATCGAAGACAGATTGATCCTCAAGGGCCACCGAATTGTTGTCCCACAGATCCTCCAGGGAGATAAACTATCTAAACTACATGCCAGCCACCAGGGTACAGAGAAGACCAAGATAAGCTAAGGGCACGCACATCAGTATTTTGGAGGAACCTGAACAAGAACATCGAGGAAACGACCAAGTCGTGTAAAATATGCCAGGAACTCCAGCCTAAACAAGCAAGGGAACCTGTGATACAAACCGAAGTACCACCAAGTCCATGGCACACAGTAGGAACTGACATCTTCTACCTTGACGATGATGAACTCTTTTTAATGGCGCTTTACTACACCAAGTATCCCTTCGTCAGGAAAATTCCCCAAAGGCCACAGCACTAGTAAGTATGTTGCAGATTTATCGAAGTAAATCTTCAGCGAACAAAGGTTTTGTGGAGGGAGGAAAACCGGAGAATCCGGAGAGATCAACGCGAGAACCTCGGGCAAGGCAAGAACCAACAAAAAACTCAACTCACGTATGGCACCGGGCCGGCATCGAACCCAGGCCGCATTGGTGTGAGGCGAACTCTCTCACCGCTGCGCCATCCTTGCTCCCCAAGTTTTATACTTAAAAAAGCTGTAACAATCATACAAAAAGGTACCTTCGCCCAGTTCACGGAAGAACAAGGAGGTACGGCAACCCTACTGCTAAGGTCATGATAGCGAGAGGGTCGAACAAGAATACAAGGATAATTTCACCGGTAGGGTTAATATGCTAACCTCACTTGAAGATTGAGAACATCTGGGATAGGATGTAAAGGGTAAAATCCTAAACGGGAAATTTGCTTACCGAACTAAGTGGGTGTATCGTTATAGTATCAGTTTACAAGCTTCTCTTACTTTTATCATCAATGACCTTGATTTCAGTTTCTGTGATCCACAATTGTTTTTTTTTTCACAGGTTCACTTCTGGTATCTGCACTCTTCTTGACTTGTGAGATGTCAAAACATTTACAACAACTAGCGCATTCACCATACCCTCAAACAAAGATGACCAAGTTTCATGTTGGATTGGCAGTAGGGCTTCCAGGATACTACTGTTGTATCTTGGTTTTTATTTGCATTTTCTTCTCGCAAAATGTAATCGAACAAAGTTCTTGCGATCGAGTAAGCAGGGAGGCAAACTGTTCCAAATGTGCATCCAATGGCATCTGCGTCCAAGGAACTGCGAGAATCTCACCTTGGCTACAATTCGCCTTAAAAACTCAGCGAGAGCTGCAGATTGACACTCCTGTGGATCAAGTTCAGGTCCTTGGAGCACATAACTCTTACAATAACAGAGCAAGTGGTTTTGGAAGGTTAGATGGCTGTCATTGGCCGCCTAGGGCAGATGA